TGTGCAACTGCTCACAGCACATTGTAACTTTTAATGCCATTTAACATTCCACAGATTTAGTATGGACTAAGTATAATGTGTAACTTCACTCTTTAAGTACTTTGCAAGCCTTCTGCTTGTGCTTCCTGTGTTCTGTGTTGTAGAAGCCACCAGAAGCCAGTGAAAGTAGTAGTATGTGTGTGTGTGTTTAACTATGCTTTGTACATGTGCATCCATTTTATAAATACAACTATTAGGGACCCAAGTGTAGTCATGTGGTTTCTTAAGCTATTTTTTATTACATAAAAGGGGAAAAGAGAAGATCTATATAGCTGTAGCCAGCTCAGTTATATAAAAGGGTTTTGTTTGCAAACGTAAGTTGACATCCACATTATCATCCTGTTCTTGTCTCTATTTAAATGCTTTCAACCCCTCTACCAATTGCTGAGTTAAAACCTCTCCTCTGACATTTCCTGCTTTCCCATGCCAATAATTCTTTTAGGAGGTTTAGATCACATACTTGGCTAAATGGAAGTCTCTTAATAGCCCCTGTGGTATTAAGGAGCCACTATTGTAAAGATGCAAACAGATTGGGAATGGATTTTTTTTACTTATATTGTTCAGAACAAGAGATTGTTCTTTTCTAGTAGTTGTCAGTGAAATGCTTCCCCCCACCCCCCCGGTCACTTCTGTTTCCTCCTAAGCTAATTTCCTTTGCTCTGGCAATATTTTGGACAGGTCTCCTTCACAGTGAGTGGTGGAAAGCCCCTCAGAATTCTCAGTGTAACAGTGGAGCCACAGCCCCATGTGGTGGATCATACCTTCCGCTTCTATCATCCAGAGATGACATTCTTGAAGAAGTCCCTCCGACTCCCGCCTTGGCACACCATTCCAGGTGATGAATACATGCATTGGGCTGAAAGTACTCTTCTGCTTGCCTTCCTTTTCAAGACCACAAGCTTTAGTTACCACTCATGCTCAGGGCTGGTGCAAGGATTTTTGCTGCCCTTGGCAAACAAAATTTTGCCTCCCTCTCTTTGTATTCCAGGAGGAGCTGAGATCAGGCATCTCCTTAAACAGCAGCACAGCCAGCTTTGTGGGACGTGGGCGCAGCTGCTGCATCCCTGGAGCCTCAGGAGCTGGGCATGGCCCTTGTGTCACTGCAGTCTATCTTGCCTTAGCCCCAGCGGTGGCAGTAACAGTGCCCCCTGGGAACCCACCCAGAATCCTCCATGTGTTGGTGGCAGCACACAAACGTGCCCCCTGCTCTGACACTGTGAAGCCATGGCATATAGGGCACTGAATGGATGGGCCGTGGCATTTCGCAGGTTGATGCGGAGTTTCCTGTCTCTCTTCATGCTGCCCCTGTTTGGCACCTTCCTGTGCTACAACCTGATCTGCTGCAGCAGCAATACCATACAAAGCCTGAATACAAGGGGTATGCACACATTGCCTACCCAACTCATAATGCTATTTTTGCTGTCCACTACAATTTAGTGCACTAGGTGGCCACCTGCCCTGCCTGTATGATTACACCAACTCTCCTTGTGCTG